TATTCATGCGAGAAAATGTTTTAGATGTGGAGCCATCGCAAATTTACCCTTTTAGGGGCGTGGCATCCATTTAAAAAGGGGGGGCGGGACTTGTCGTGCCCGCAGTAAAAATGGTTTTTCCCACTTGTTACAAAAGCAGGAAACTTCACAAAGACATAATTATATAGATTATTAGTGTTTTCCAGATTCGGAGCCACCACAAAAGTACCTTTTTTAGGGGCGTGGCAGCCATTAAAAGAAAAGGGGGGTTTAATTATTATGCCCACTTTGGAAAACATTGTGCCCATATTTCATGAACGAATAAAACGTCCCACAGACGTTTATATTCATGAGAAAAAAATTCCAGATGTGGAGCCATCTCGAACACACCCTTTTAGGAGCGTGGCAACCATATAGGGGGAAAAAAGGGGGGCGGGGTTTTCATTATGCCCACCCTGGAAATATTGTTCCCACACTCATAGAGAAATGGAACTTTCCACAAACATTGACATTCATGAGAAAACAAGTTCCAGATGTGGAGCCATCTCGAACACACCCTTTTAGGGGCGTGGCAACCATATCAGAAAAAGGGGGGGCGGGGTTTTCATTATGCCCACCCTGGAAATATTGTTCCCACATTCATAGAGAAATGGAACTTTTCACAGACATTGACATTCATGATAAAAACAATTCCAGATGTAGATCCATTGCGAACACACCCTTTTAGGGGCGTGGCAGCCATATTGAAAAAAGGGGGGCGGGGTTCTCATTATGCATAACATGGGAAAAATGTGCCCACATCTCATAAACGAATGAAGCTGATTTCCACAGACATTAATACTCACGAGATAAAAATCACACATGGAGCCATTGTAAACACACCCTTTTAGGGGCGTGGCAGCCATAATAAAATGGGGGGGGGTAGTCATGATGCCCCTATAAAAGAAAGTTGTGCCTACCTTTCATAAATGGATTAAATTCCACTCGGACAATACATTCATAAAAATCTTTTTTTATTTAATGTGAGGCCATCACAAACCTACCCTTTTAGAGGTGCGGCATCCATTTTTAAAAGGGGGGGGGGTACTCAATATGCACAACGTGGAAAATTTTGACCGCGTTTCATATAATAAAATAAAATCCACCTCAGATAGCTGTTTAATGTGTTGGAGTAGGGCCGCCTTTATAGTTGGAATTTACTGTTGACAAACCCTTTGTTTTCTTACACTATGCATTCTTGCCTCATCCATATTAACCCAGTTACTGGTTCTTTTGTCTGTAGAATTATTGATAACCTTTCAACTGCATCAATATCTGAATTAGGGGTATAAACTGGGGTACCTCAGTTAGTCCTGGAAAGACTAGTGTTACTTCTTCAAATACATTGTTTCCCCTGCCTTTTTTTCTGACAGACCAAAAGGCATATGCAGTGTCGCACCTGTATAACGTATAATTTTTTTTAATGGATTTGGTCGGGGTAAAAAAAATCACTCATAAGAGCTTGATATACCATTTTTAAGAGAACAGAGGTGTTGTGTGGTGGGGGTACACAGATTCATTGAATGTGAAGTCATAGTGGACGTGTCCACCACTTTGTGAGGCGAGTACATCGTGTTGTTACCCAATCTGCTGTCAATGCAGCGCAACGGGTAAGGGGTAGGGGGATTTTACACTCCCCCCCCCCTAAAAAAAAGATTTCCATGGCCCTTTAATGTTAAATGTTAGAGTTTAGGGCTGCCATTGTGTGCTGTGTATTTGTAATTATGAAATCACTCTGGAATTTAGATGTGCATGATAATATAGGTGCAAGTACACACATTGAACAATATAACACGGGTTAGCCTACCGGTACTTACCCATGCTCTTTGGGGTAAGTCATTGTATTACCAAATAATATAGGTTATGGGCCAATCAACATTATAAGAAATCAACAACAAAATATAAAAATTGCAGTTGTGGGCACAGTGAGTAGGCCCCTCACACCTCTAAAAGGATGAATTTGCTGTGGCTCTACATAAGAACTTTCTTTTATAGGGGCATCATGACTACCCCCCCCCCATTTTACTATGGCTGCCACGCCCCTAAAAGGGTGTGTTTACGATGGCTTCACGTGTGACTTTTTTTTTCTCTTGAATATTAATATCTGTGGGAATTAGCTTTATTCTTTTATGAGATGTGGGCACATTTTTTCCCATGTTGGGCATAATGAGAACCCCGCCCCCCTTTTTTCAATATGGCTGCCACGCCCCTAAAAGGGTGTGGTCGCGATGGCTCCACATCTGGAATTGTTTTTCTCATGAATGTCAATGTCTGTGGAAAGTTCCATTTCTCTATGAATGTGGGAACAATATTTCCAGGGTGGGCATAATGAAAACCCCGCCCCCCTTTATTTCCTTATATGGTTGCCACGCCCCTAAAAGGGTGTGTTCGAGATGGCTCCACATCTGGAATTTGTTTTCTCATGAATGTCAATGTTTGTGGAAAGTTCCATTTCTCTATGAGTGTGGGAACAATATTTCCAGGGTGGGCATAATGAAAACTCCGCCCCCCTTTTTTCCCCCTATATGGTTGCCACGCCCCTAAAAGGGTGTGTTCGAGATGGCTCCACATCTGGAATTTTTTTTCTCATGAATATAAACGTCTGTGGGACGTTTTATTCGTTCATGAAATATGGGCACAATGTTTTCCAAAGTGTGCATAATAATTAAACCCCCCCTTTTCTTTTAATGGCTGCCACGCCCCTAAAAAGGTACTTTTGTGGTGGCTCCGAATCTGGAAAACACTAATAATCTATATAATTATGTCTTTGTGAAGTTTCCTGCTTTTGTAGCAAGTGGGAAAAACCATTTTTACTGCGGGCACGACAAGTCCCGCCCCCCTTTTTTTAAAATGGATGCCACGCCCCTAAAAGGGTAAATTTGCGATGGCTCCACATCTAAAACATTTTCTCGCATGAATATAAACATCTGTGCCAAGTTTCACGCTTTTATGCAAAAGTGCACAATTTTTTCACATATCCGCTGGACTACTAGTATTACTCTGTTGAAAACCATAACTGATTCTGTCATTAAGAACAAGCTTTGCTAAGACATATGTGTGACGGATTTCTTTCAGAAACGCATGCCCCCCCCCCCCCAATTTAAACTTTGAACATCGACCACTTGAATCAATAGAATCAATCAAAAGTTGGTGCTGAGCATTTCACTCCATTAATGTCACTGTGGAAAAAGTATATCATAACAGTTCATTTAAACCTCGACCTAGGTTTGAATAATTCATGATATGCCTGGTTGCACAATGGCCACAAATAACAATGTCATTGAAAATTTGGCATTGTGTGGTTTCACTTGAATGTTTGTGAAGCAACAATCGACCATTCAAAAGAGTCCAAAATATTGCATGAACAGTATTCAAATTAACATTCTTTGATGTTATTTCAGCATTATCCTAAATCAAGAAAAATCTGGCAGTATTCTTTTAAAATTAATTTCTGATCATAAACCACCAACCAACTAACGTTATATTCTTCTATTAATTCTACCTCAATTTTTGTTTTAGATGAAAAAAATAAAACAGTTGTTAGGATTTGTGATCACTATTTTTTTCAATGTCTCAAAGTCAAAGGGGAGGAGAATCCTCATGATTGTTTTTAAATTCCCGTTCAGGGTTTTTGGGGACTGATGTCCTCTCATGTTTTTTAATCCTGTACCAAGGACACATTTTTACGACTTGCTGTCAAAGAGGATCATCCTCTTTCGATCGAATGTGCCAAGTTTATTACAAAACTCTAAAACATATCTTGCCAGCTTTCAATTTCAATTATTTCATGTATATACATTTTGTGTCTTTAATTGTTTTATAGTGCAGCGCAATTCACGTTTAAGTATTTCTAAAATATTAAGTATTATATTTTAAAATATAATTTTAAAATATAATTATTATTATTTAACTCTAGCCCTGTGTCCAAGTTTCAAGAATATAGACCAAAACGTTTGTACAGCTGCAATATTAAAATTTTAATTGAATTAAATTTCTAGAAATCCTGAGGCATTTTTAATGGGGCCGTACGGTATCATAAGTCCGAGGGTTCATAGGTCCGAAGCCTCATAAGTCCGATGCCTCATAAGTCCAAAATCGGAAAACCGAAGCGTACAAGGCGTCGGAGGGATGCGATTTTGTCGGACTTATGAGCGGACCCCTTTTTAATATAACAATGCATCTGTGCGATTAAACTTTCAACACATAAACGTGTGGTACAATTTTGTGGTATAAAATTAGTATTTGGCAACAAAAGTTTAAATCCCTTCTTTTTAAACTGTATCACATTCATTGCCCCAAAATTCCTCTTCAGTCATGGTAGGTTTGGTAGAATGAGACATTGGTAGATGCATTATTAATTCAAATGATAGGCCTAACCATTATTATTATTATAAACCAAATATGGAAACAAATGAAACATAATTTAAGAATGGCTAAACAGCATTCCTTTGGCTGAACTATTGCTAAACGAGAAATTAATTAATTGTTCAAACCTCCCATTAATCATTTACATCACTGGCAGCATGGCAGGACATTGTACATCACGTCACATGAAAGAACATGAATATTTATTCGATCAGCTGATTTTGTGAAACGGCGATTCAACTAGGCCTATCATTTTCTATGGAGGTCCTTGGTTCGAGCATAATAAACAAATGCAAATGTATCAAATGAAATGGCTAAAATAATGTTCTACAAGTTTATGAGGCCTTCTTGAAAGAAAATGAATTCATATTTTTTATTAACTACGAGCAACAGACGATAGCAAACTGCAGAAAAATTACAGCCTAACGTATTTCCAAAATTTGCACAATGGATTTAAATGGCCAACTCGCAAAAAAGATGACCCCCGACAACGCGATGTTGCAACATCCCCATCAGAATTTCAGCTACTCCGAGTACTCGCTTTGAAAAACATGTGCGAAAAAACGCAAAAGAAAGGTCAGAAAACCCAAAGTAGTCCTCGGGTGTGGCTGTCTTACCTCAGAAAGGCCTGGGAGACCGAGAAAAGCAAGGCAGAAAGTGATTCCGAGCGCCGCCATCTCATCCATCACCGCAGAAAGTTGCGAAGAATCAGCTGCATCAGAACCCGTTCGCTCGTATCGCGATATCGAGTGAGCAGCTAGCTAGCTTCGTTGACGTACGTGACGTGGTATTTCGAAATCCAACCGCCCTGCAAGGCAATCCCCGACCTTTATGACCTCCTTTTTCAACGGCAACCATTTTTCATAAAGTGGGCGGTGAAATATTATATCCTACTAAATCAATAATAAAATATGTTATGATAGCCTTTAATGAATGAATACATGCAACAGTACAGTTACTGTATTTTAGTAATTTTTTTTTTAAACAATACTGTGTACAATAACATGTTCAAAGTTTCTGTGGTGTACTGTTACCCCTAGTAGAAAGTCGGATGATCCAAATCAGGCCACCAGTGACGTCACCTGTTTATCGCAAGTAGAAACCGCTCATGAATATTAATCAATCGACGCTTTGTGGCCCCGTAATGTGGTTAAAATACAATCGAATCAGCTAGCTGCACACGCGTTATCGCGGATACTAGCTATAGTAATGCCATGTCTCCTTTCAGTTTGGTCACAATAGTTTCGGTAGTAAACAAGTTTGAAAACCGTTATTATGTAAACAAAAAACGGTGCACCGTTGCAAAATTCTGATGCAAGAGCTATGTTAGTCGTATGCTCTATGGTCGTATGACCTAATGGGGAATCCCTCAGAGGGTTGAACCTCCATGGTTGAATCATACTGGGGAATTACACTTGTGGTTGAACCATACTGGGGAATTACACTTGTGGTTTCGCAATTCTCGTCGTTTCTTAGACAAAATAAATCTTGGTCAAAGCTCAAAAGAAGTGTTGCCATCAACAAGTTCCAACTTGTTATGGTCGGGGCTAATTAACTGCATGAGCATTGAGCAATATTCGACCTGCTTTGCGACCCAGTTTCAGCAAAGGAAACTGCAGAAGAAACTGTGCCTAATCCCTCAAATTATGCCTACAACTGAAAGCCAATAATCATAGTCTAAATATAATTATTCTGGAATATTTTTGAAGAAGGATCAAAACTGTTACAAAAGGTTTCTTGTGTATTAACTGTTTTTATAAAAACATTAAATAATACTTTATCCGAAAATGAGCTTGATTTGCGATGGCAAAAAAAAGTTTTTGATAGATTCGGATAATTTGATAGATTATAGATAAACTCTATAAGCAATTTTACAATCCAAACTACATGTAGGGCCTATCTTCAGTTGCCACCAGCAATAATTCAAATCGAACTCATTGCACAGTACCCTCGCCTCTTTGCCACATATGTACTGACCAAAGAATAATATGCGTACACCACTTACTAGGCGCCTTTTGCCCACCACACCAATTTATGGTAAACTCATAGAGCTATTATTATAAGCTCTATGGGTAAACTTAAATGGCGCCCTCTATGTCATGAATGATACAATAACAAGATGGCTGCCTCCATGATGACATTGATTTCTCACGACCCCATTGTGTGCTATTTATGTGAAGATTCCACACTTAACTAAATCGGAAAAATATGTTCGTACAAAGCTTTGACCTCAGGCTTCTGTATAATCAGGAAATAAGAGGTAGGCTAGGCATAGTGTAACTAAACTAGTCTGTACATGTATGATGTAGTTAACTTTAAAGGAAACAAATAGGCCGAGTAAGTCTTGGACCTGTTGTCATGGTTGTTGTGCCCATTCTTGAAAATCACGCAATCTTAAGAATGTGCGCGCATTCTTAAGAATGAGCGCCCATTCTTAAGAACGAGCACGCGTTCTTAAGAATAAGCGCTCATTCTTAAGATTGGGTGGGAATATCACGTGCACAATTTATGAATTTTGCCCAATCTTAACAAACATTGCACGACATAATTATGTTAAATGAAATGTATAGCGGTTAAAAGGGAAACAATTTATATAAAGAGGAAAGAAAATGTTCTATGCTTCTGTACTCGTATAACTACGATAATTTGAATCAAATTAAACCTGTTATTATTGCTTTTTTTCTGCCCACTATGGGAAGTTTTGTAATAACGGAGGACTGGGAACTAGTCTGGGAAGTGCTTTGTTTAGGCTAGACAAGTTACAAGTCCCTGTATGTATCATATGCATGCCACAAAAAAAAAACGATGTCCAGAAGCTGCCAAAATTGCTCTTTTGACTAGATAGAATCCAGCTCTGCGACGTAATGGTGGGGTGTGAACAATAAATTGGTGGCAATTTAAATGGGAAATAGCATTAGCACTATGGGATGTCGCAGTATTCATTCTCATTCTTCACATTCTTCATTCTTACGTCCACCCCCCCCCCTTTTTATTATCCAAAAAATCTGAATTCTTTCCACTAGTATTATTATGTCTCTTATTTTTTCCCGGTCCCCCCCCCCGGCATAATCAATACGCCTATACTTATCATATCCACTCTACTTTTCAGCGCCTTGCGTTGCAACAGTATAATTATTGAGAATCAGTGAACGAGGATGCAGCTAGACTTGCCAAGCGCAGCCGGTGCTCGGCATCGACAAGACCGTTATCTTGTCGCGCATTCTTAAGAATGTGCGCTCAATCTGGAAGAGTTATTTTTTGCGAAGATTGCGCAAGGATCCAGTTGCACATTCTTAAGAATGTGCATGCACATTCTTAAGAATGCGTGATTTTCAAGAATGGGCACAACAGACCCAACATCGCCTTTTTAACATTCGGACATGGTCTGGCGATAGTAGGGTCCAAGCTAATCCTGATATCATTGTATATATATGCTGAGCAACACAATTCTGTCATTGACCCCAAAACCCAACATTGCCCAACAAAAACATCAGATTTCACCCTCAAAACGGTTGTGGATTTATGTATTATGATAATGAGTAGACTGGATCACGTTTGTAAATACAAGTGCATTTCGAACGATAATAGGGAGTCGGGAACTAGGGCAGATTTTATGGATGGAAACCAGCTAGCTAGTTCCCGACTCCCTATTTTAAATTTTTTTAAAAACATTTTTTTGAATTTTTTAACATAGCAAATCATTTTCTACCCATTTTTTTTTCTGATCTAAAGACGTCAATTAGAAGTTGATTTCCGAGGGTGCACGATAACCCCTTCTTCCCACTAAAAACAAGGCTACGAGTAACGCGCAGTAGGGTTTATGGTCAAATCCTGAATGGCCTATCACCAATACTTTAGGCCAAAAAATATATCTGCTTCCGATTACATGGCATTCGAAAATAGGGTAGGTAGGGACTTGTTTTTTTCTTGCCATTTTTTTTATGTACAGTCATATGGAGGCGTCTGCGTGTAGTCAAGTGTAAAAGGTAGAAATTGAAGGTTTTGTGTTTTTTTTTCTCATTTTTCCAATAACAAAATTAGGGTTGGGCTGTCAAAATAGGGTAGGTAGGGAAAACAGAAGCAGAAGTATTTTTTTTTGCCTTACTTATAAAAATCACATTCTTATTTTTCCTTTCTCACTAGATTTTGGTTGATTTCTTTGAATTCTGATTGAACAGTTATTGGCAACGGTACCGGGTCAGTAGGATCTTTTCATCCAGCTCCCCACTGACACATTTTATATGGAGATGGTCACCGCTATCAACAAAGGGTTTTGTTGTGGAAACGTTCATTAGATGACACCGACAATAATTCAAACTTGATTTTACAAAAGTGAACTGTGAAACAACAAGGTTATACACATACATGTAATGTTGATCACAACCATTCTCTGACTCTGTTAATTAATGCTTTACCTTGTTATCTTTGAGTAGAGAATGGTCCACAGTGTCTTGCCGACTTTCAAGACTTGTTTGTGATTTGCACTTCTTTGCTTAACCATCACTGATTTAAAACACACTTATCTATCCTCAGAAATTCAGTCTCTAATCTCAGATTGATTGCATCGAATTTGAAGTGACATTCAATTTCAACTAAGAATTTGGCTGAACTCAAAAAAGCAAGACTGTCTGTGTTTGCAGTTACTGTTTATTTTGGATACATTCTCACTGCATCACCATGGCAGTGAATAAAAAATCGAAGGATAACAGTGCAGGAACAACCAATGCTAATAGTGTATCCCAGAAGACATCTATTAGCAGTTGGGTTCGGAACCGGCCTACGGCCCACCCGGCCTCGGTGTGCGCCGGGTCTGCCATCGGGGTACATTACCGTGCAAACGTTGGATCGTGTCAGCAAAGGCTACTCAGCGAGATCAAGTGTTGTCTATACAGCCGAGTTGCTCCTTCAGGCTTTTCGGACTTCTCCAAGCAGAACGGGCATGAGGCAATCTTTAACCTGGAGTTCTCTCCAAATGGGTACGGACAAAATATTTATACCATTATCCATAACCGGTGGCGGATCCAAATGGGTCCAAGTTGTAGGGGACCTAGGAGGCTTCATTTTCTGGAGGAGTGCACCCCCCCCCCCCCCCCCCCGATTACATCACTGAGCACTGTCTATAACCTTCTGTGATACTTAAAAATCCCCCAAGATTAGAAGATTGTGCAGGATTGAGGACGGAACAACCAAGCTACAGCAAGGAGATAAATCAACTTGAAATGGCACTTGATCTAGACAATGAGCCGATATAGAAATTCTTTGCATTGTACCCATCTTTGAGGTGGGTACTTTTGTCCAACAAGGATTTACATGAGAATACCTCTTGTTAATTCATTGTTACTTAATTTAATTAAATAACCAAAAATAACCCCAAAACTGTTCAATGCAAGGGGTCTATTTCTGCTCAGTGTTAATTTGCTAAAATTACTTCAACTTGAAAGCAATTGTTACCTTTATGTGAACTAAAAGTTGAACCTCTCCTCAAGTCACACTCAAATTCTCCCTACGGTCCACAGTGATGTCCTAGTAGCAGCTTGTGAGGAGAATAGCATGTTGCTGTTTGATCCATTGACAACCAAGCATATAACAGCGGTTCGCAATGCCCACTCTGACTGTGTCAACTGCATTAGGTAGGTGAATAATAATTGCTTATTATATTTCTTGACCTATGGTATGACCAACCGTTAAAAATGGTTTTAATTTTGGCCCCGTGTTCATTGCTAAAATGCACAATATGGATTGTATATGATTATGACTAACAAGACCACTTGAAAAGTAGGTTAATGCATTATAGAACAATTACATGTACACATCACAAAAAAATATGTACATGTACTGTA